TGTTAAATTAAATATTAAAAAAAAGATTACACTATAAGTAAAAAAAAATCAGCTAAAGCTATTTAAAAGTAATAAAAAAATTGTAATGGTAAATGTTATTTATAGGTAAAAAATATTAACTTTAACATTTGTAAGTAAATATTTAACTATATTTAATTGTTTAAAATTAAATATTAATAAAAGAATTTACGACAAATAAAAGTAAAAAAAGAAAAGAAAAGGGCATTAGTCCGAACATTGGTTCGTGCACGGAGGCAAAGAAGCTCCGTGCACGGAGGTTTACTACATGTTGCGTCTTTTTTTTTTTTAACTTATGTTTTTGTGTTCATTTTCAGACTCATTACGTGACATTAAACGAGATCGAAATATTACATTCTTAATATCATATTGAAGTACTCGCGACATAATATTGCACGCCGTTAACGGTGCGTGAAACAACTAATTGTAGCAAATGTTACGAAACGTCAAAATAGACATTTTCAAACTATATTTCGAAATTTTCGATAACAAGCTAACTCTAAAAATTCATTGACCATTATACAATAGTCGAATCGATAAATATTTTACATTCTCTCGAAACTTATTTCGAGAAATATATTATAGACACATCGAATGATGTAAATTAATATCGAAAATAGTTAAACGGATATTAAACGTACGTGTTAAAAAATGCGTATAAATCGTTTTTCTTCAAAAAATTAATTATTTTATTACTATTTATTATTTTTTCGCAACAATTTTCTCAATACATCATTTTGCTCAAGAAAAATAATGTGGTATGACGTAATTTTTTTCTCCATACACGAGTGAATATTTTTTTTTTTACATTTTATTTACAATAATTTTGTTTATTAATATAATTTTCCAAATTTAAATATATAAGATATGGTTGATAATTAATAGCGTGAGAATTAGGAGAAAGAGTATGGTGTGTCAGATTCAAAGCAAGGGATAAATATTACAGTAGACAATAGCGTGTGACAAAATTTCTACAATATTTTTGAATAACATTTTTCCTGTTATCGAACCAATTTCCAAACCAATTAAGTGTGAAAACGAGTGTGACAAAATGAACAATAAACCCTCATTCTCTTTTATGGTAATATAGACATGATAGGGAAATTATCAACTCCATCCAACTTAGTTTCTGGTTCGAATCCTGTGTGTCATAAGCATGTGCATATAAATCATGTTATTGTTACATCCGTAACCCTGGGAGGGCTCCATTCGAGCGCTGCATGATAGTGAATGCTACATTGGCCCTCAGCTGCAAGGCACGTGGGGGTACACATTTTCTTCACTATATCCTGCGAAGGCTATGACGTGTTTACCACTGTCCTCACTTATGACATCATTCATTTGATTTTCGTGCAACACTGTCCTTTCAATCGAACTAGTGATGACCAATAGTCTTGGGCCAAGCATGTTTTACAATCTCACCCATAAATCATATTTGTCTAAAAAGGAAGTCTTTGACAAGGGGATTAAAAAAAAAAAAAATTAGAAAAAGTGTCCATGTTATGGTCATAAACAAGTGGGAATGTATTTGTAATTTAATTTAGTATTATAAAGAATGGATAATTTTTCAGCCAAACAAAAGAAAACAAAATGAACTCAAATATATGCCCATAAGTTCTCTTTTTCAATAATACGAAAAGAAAAAAAGAAAAAAGTTTCTTAATAGGAGAAAAAGGAAAAGAAGAGAAATGGTTCCTTAGTCGAATTAAAATGAACGTGACAAATTGTCAATAATAATTTTACAAACACATAACTATTGTCTATTGTTATATAAGAAAATATATATCACCAAAAAGGAGCATTGTGAAAAATTGTAAATAAATTGTACTTATTATTTAGCATTTTAGTTTAATAAACTATGCAATAAATTAAATTACATTCACAAAATAACTAAAGTGCAATGAGTTAAATTGCATTCACAAGATATGAATTTGTCATCACTCAAAATTAAGAAATTTTCGAGTAAAATTATTATGATTAGGAAGTTTTCCAATTTTTCAAGAAATAATTATAGCTTAACTCATAAAATGTGTAATTAATAAAGTGTGTAATTCAGCCTTACTGGCAGCTGCAATGTGAAGGTTCGATTCCTGAAATATGAAATTGGACTCTCTGTGGGCACCAGTGTACAGATAAGCTCTTGTTCCCTAGCCTGTTGGAGCACATCCCGCGATTTACCTCCCTCATGATACTCCAGATACGGGACGGTTGGGCCTCTCAAGGTTGAGGTTCAACCTTTTATAAAGTGTGTAATTAATAACTGAGTTGTATTTATGAATGTGATATTAAAATTAATACTGAATTACATTAAAAGTCATTATCTTTATTCATTACACTTACATCCTTAATTTTTTCTTGATCATATTTTATTTTTAACATTTCATTAATAAAAAAATCTTCTCCTTAATCACAATTTTCGTCCAAAAAATTGTTAACATGCTTTAAATGAGGGTCAAATATTTAATCGCATTTTTTGAGAAATATTTTCATGCTTATTCAAATTCAATGGACAAATCTTTTTACTCTATCTTAAAGGAAATTTTGGAAATAAATCACAATTAGGAATAATTCATGTTAATTTGAGAAAAATGATGCGATGAAAAAAAGTTTGATATGTAAATGTGATAATATGTAGAGATTATAAATCTTGAACACAATTAAAATATAGTTTAGTTATTAAAAATTGTGGTATAGATATATATAGCATTTATTAAACTTGCCAACTTTGGATTATATTTCCGGCCAAAAAGGAGAACACACACGAGTATCCCATTGCCTGGCTGCATGAACACACGTGACATGAGCGCCACGTTGCGATTTCTTTCAATAAAAGCTTATTTATGTATTTTAATACTGTCACACTTATACCGGTTAATATTCGATAAATGAACCGATACAGATGCCAATTTGTGTGATGTCGCCATTTTCAAAATTTACTGACTTCAGTCATAATACTTAATATAACGCCTAAATTCCCGACCTAGACTGCTTATAATATATATTTATAATGTTTATATTTAATATTTTTTACCAAACATGTTAGTTTGCCTTTCTATTCTCGTACGAAGGAAACCAAACATGTTAGTTTTCTTTTCTATTCTCGTATGAAGGAAATGTTACAATTCTCAAGTCTCTTTTGGCAACAATCGCTCCAAGGTTCATCTAGATGCATGAAAGATATAAGAATAATGCCACTTGCCTAACCTTAAAAACAGAGAGTGAAGAGACAGACAAAAAGTGATAAGTGTTTTTATTTTAATTTTTCAAACTGTTTGATCATGCATCGACACGTCCCATCTAGATTTGAACCTGGATGTGTAGCATGATTGAAGATATAAACTTTAGACGAACTTCCATTGCTGAAACTTAAAATTTTACAAGTTCGAGCACATTTCAGACAAGCAAAAGCCATCCTTAGAGCAGTCATTGATGTACGACCCCCAAGCTCAATCAAGAAATGCTCTATGAGCTTAACCGTGCAGTGTTTTAGGTAAATAAAATAAATAGTAACGCCTCGTCTTCCAAAAATTCCAAACTAAAATCACGATAATACAAGCATAGAAAAGGCCGGGAGAATAAGTTAACAGAAAAAGAGGACGAACAAATTGTCCCAGGAAAATAAGTTAACAGAAAATAAATTAGGGAGGTCAACAGAATTTACACGAATCTTAAAATCAGACTATTAAAACATGGGAAAACAACAGAGGTCGAAAGATTTGCCCAGAACAACATAACTACAATAATGTACCTTACAGTTCTCTTTTCCAGTCTGTTTCTTGGGCATTGGAAGAAGAATGATAAACAGACGGGGAGAAAAACAGGGGGAAAAAACATACAGAAGTGAAAGCAACTTGTTGGCTGTTTTTTATTTTTTAATTTTTCAAACTCCCCAATAATGCATCGACACGTGTGCAGCCTGTTTTTTACCCTGTTTTTCACCCTGTCTCTGTAGCATTGCTCGCATTGGAATTATACCCACGTATTAGCCTTCCAGTTAAAAAAAGTTACAGTGTACAATCAAGGGCTGCTCTTTCTTTTAGCTACCTGTATTCATTTTGGAGGAAAAGTACAACAGGCCACAATATTAGAATAGCATCATCAAGTAGTACCAGCTTCTGTCGGGGTGGTACACGGAGCAAGGGTATTGTGCGGAATATTGACACCACCCCCTTTCACAGATACATTAGGACTCTGAACTGTACTAGCCCTGCTCACAAGATGTGAGTCGAGAAACACCACGATAACTGTGATGTCATCGTGAAAATGACGGCGAACTCCTCGATCAATTTTCTTCAAGTCTGAGTACCTCATCTCCCTCTTCTTAGCAGCTTCTTGCAATGCCACTTTCACTAATCTTCTAGCACTTCCCTGCAAAAAGAAAAATATTTATCTCAACCACAAACAAAAAAGGGTTGTTGCTCTTATTTGCCTTTTTCTATTTCGAAAACCAGCAAAGCAGAAAAGGCCTCTTTACAAGCTTGGAGTTATAAAGGAATAAAAGTTCTTTCATTCATGTTAGGGATTAAGCCCAAACTGTGGTTCACTCTATGAGTACTACGTCCACTTGCCGCTATAGATTTTCACTATAATGAAGACGGATTTTACAACATTCTCTTCTTCACGCCTCTCCATCTAATCTAGTAGGAAAACAACACCGCCCCTCCCGAAAAAATATAATAAATAAATCCTATTACTTAGTGTACGAAACTAATACACAAATATGAATGTCCAATATACAGCTATTAAGTTGATTGCAGTCAAGGTGGCAAGTGAAAACTCAAAGCACTCCAACAAAGGACACATGCTACTGGCAGCAACTTCACCACCAAATTGTGCTTCTATGTTTATAATTAGCACCCTAACCGACCTTCAGAAATTATGAGAACTACAAAAATGACCTACAAACACAATTAGTGCCAAGCATCAAAAAGCAGTTAGATGGTCACTATTCATAATTATGGCCTTCACTATGTTGCACGTCACGCTTCAAAATTAGAAAGGTGATTACATTTAAAGCGTCAAATATCTTACATTGCGTGGATGATTTTGGACGAGATCAACAGCTTCTTGGTCGGTAAGGTGCTCCCATAGGCCATCTGACGCAAATATAACAAACTGATCATGAGGTAGCAATTGGTGCACAGAAATTGATGGTTCTGCGCTCAAAATTGGTCTTTTGAAAGGTTCACGAAGTCGAAACTTTGCATATAATGGCTCCCTGTTGAATTCAGCCTTTTTCAAGTACACATCACCAATAGATCTTGAAATCTGTAAGACAAAATATCAGACTACTGCAAACATAAATCACACTTAAGATGTCTCATACCTCATATAATGAGATTACACAGAACATTATCCATAGTTGAAGTTATCAAGTACTTGAGGAGTTTGCTTATGAAACAATTTCATTTTTCCCCCCCTTCTTCTTTGTGGCACATTTAAATCAGAGGTAGATCTGGGAAAAGAGTTTCTGCACAAACCCTCAAGAAGATGAATACGCTCTCTCTTTTTTTTTTTTTAATGGAACGTCTCCCATTAAGCCTCTGTCTGATGGCCATTATTTTGGACAATGTCTTCAATAGTGATTTTTAGAAGAATATGAGGTTATAAATTTGGGAAAAGTTTTGGGTTCACATGCAGAATATTTTAATCTGTGAATGGATGATTGAAAATGAATATGTAAAAAAAAGAAAAAAGAAAAAAGGGAGGTTTCAAATAATGGCCATCAAATAGGGTATAAATCTTCTACAAAAATTAAACGTGACTATTTTGTTTTTTTCAACAATATTTTTTACCAAAGCAGGATTTTTAGCAACTATGGAACACAGGCAGAAAGATCAATATCAAAATGATACTGTAATAAATGTTGGAACTAACCTGTATGAGGCCCTTCACACGCCACACATTATGCTTTAGTACTACGATTTGTGAGTCGTCAGGGTGCAGTGAATGCAGCTCCTGTCTCACAGACTCAATACTTGCATTGTGCTCGGCCGAGAGCCGAATGGACAATACTTCCCCCGTTGCCTTGACTAGTCTTCCCAAAACAGCACGGGAATCACCAAGGTTGGCAATATATAGAGTTCCGCCACAAATGACTCCGACAAGGCAACACGAGCCAACTGCTGCTATCTGCGGTTTCATGGGCCATTGTCTGCTGACCAGTGAGAAAAAACCATCTTCCGTTGCTTGAAATGCTTTCCGTATCACCTCCACTGACATAGATTGATGCTCCGAAGTGAACCCTGCACAATAGGAAAATTAGCAGTTGAAGACAGGAACTTATAATTATAGGAAGTTAATCTACAGGTCAAAGTTTAACTAGCATTGGAACCTGTCATCTTCACTGCTAGTATTGAGCCTTTATATTTTGAAATATATGTACCAAATAATGTTGGCAAACTAAAAACTAGTTTGTATCATACTTTGAACTTCAGAAGTTACGAATTATCAAACACTGCCATAATTATAACTTATAATAACAATGGAATTCATAGAACTTACTCTGGAGATGTCGGAAGAGGTGCTCGTTGATGAACCGAGAAGTCTCGGGACCGCCATGTCCATCGTAAACCCCCACAAAAGTACCATATGGCCCAGAATCATGAGAGCTCAAACAACCAGATTCAAGTTGGCTCTGATCCTCAAGCAAATTATTCGCTTGAACTACAGCCATAGAATACTCCCCATTGGAATGATGCCCTGTGTCCTTATACCAAAGAAGCCCATCTTGACGGCCACTGGCATCTGAACCCGTGTGAACATATGGATCTGCCTTTGGCCGAAAACAGGCCCTCAAAAGGTTCATTAACCCAGATAACATACCTCATCTCATCCAAACCACCCTCCAAATTATCCACATCTAATAAGGACTCAAGATAACTCTGGCCCGAATAAACCTCAATGGGTATTTTTACAAATATCTCCTCCAGAAATAGTAATTGTTTGCACTATGCACATAAAGTCTAGAATAACATCAAGAATAAACGTGAAAACAACAAAAATTAGAAGTCGAATAACAGAAACCGAACATATTAAATTCAACAACTTTGATTTCAGCCAAGAATTCTATGAACTAAAGGGACAAGGTTACTGAATGTGAAACCGATCTTATGTTTCTTATGGGAACAGAACACCCATGACACCAACCTGGCGCAAAAAATAAATAAAAAAAGGAAGAGAAAATTCAGCAACGAAGAAAAGGGGAGGAGAGGCTTTGAAAACAAGAGTGGTCAAAATTCACTTTTTCCTTCAGGCGCAGCAGCCAGTTCAAATTCCAGAAAGTCCAACTCTCAGAAAAAGGAATGGAAACGAATAATAAATAAAACAAAAGAAAAATCCAAATTCCTGAAATAGTAAAATCCCGAAAATATCTAATTACACTACACAACATTTTACAAATATCTTTAAACTTTTACCTTACGAGCCAAGAGGAAGATCTGAAAGTGGAACAGATTTAGATCTGTAGATCCTTCAAAGTGAGCATAAAATCAAAGTGGGTTTCAATTTATTCCTTTCTCTCGTCACTTTGAACAGTCTTCAGATGATGTAGGTGATGAAGTAACAAAAAGAAGAAAAAAATACACTACACACAAAGAAGTGGAAAAGAATATGAGAAAGAGAGGGGGAGAGGTATGGTGTATTTGATCGGGAAACCGAAACTAGTCTCTCTCAGCAGACAAATCCCATTAAAAACCAACAATGGGGAGCTTGAATCCAGCAAAGCAGAGGACCAGTTTGGGCTCCACACATTTCAGATAGAAAATCTAGAGGTAAATATTTTTTCACAAAAAATGTCATTTTTTCACCAAATTTTCATTTTTATACTGTTTGATTTATATTTTTTTTTATGAAAAATATTTTTTTAAAAAGAATAATTTTTTTATTTTTCGAGTAATTCTCTCTCTTATTCTCTCATCTAACTCATTTCTCTCTAATCTACTCCTCAATAAAAAATAAATAAATAAAATATTTTTTAGATTGAAAATTAAATCAATCAAATACATTTAATTTAATTGATAAATTTTATATAAATAAGTTTTAAATAATTAAATTATTTAAAATTTATTTTATTTTTATATAAATTTTATGCTGACAATCGAACGCAATTATTACAAGTTTAAGAAGAAAATCAATAACTAGAGAGAGAAACTAATAAAAACTGTAAATAAAGAGAGAGACTCGTGAAAAGGGGAAAGGAAAACACGCAAATTGGGAGTCAATGAAGTTGGATAAAGATTGAGTGTATCGCGTTTATGTGTTTTTTCTATGTAAGTAGACTCTTTTGGTGACACGTGGAGCTCAAATGTATAATATGTTCTTAAGTATTATTTTTTTTTTCAAAATACATCAATAAAAAGAGTCTTGGGGAAAATTGCACCATTAATCATCAACCTATTGCTTAAATAGAAAGTTGGTCACCAATCTTTCATATAGTTGCATTTATTTAAACTCTGTTAAATCACTGATTACCCGGTCTTCACATAATACGATCCAAATGACGATTTAGCAAGAAATCTAACGTTCCACCATGACTCATTAAGAAATTATTGTGCAACTATAATGAACTTGTTATAGAGCCGACAAGTTACCAACCAATTGTGTGATTTTTTAAGAACTTTTTACACTTTGCATAAAAACTTCAAGCCTACATTTGCTTGACTTATATAAATTCGGCCTGAAATAAATAAAATAAAGTAGTTATTAACTTGATATTGTTACTAACGATGATGATAAAGTGAGCATGACAAATGACGCATGAATATTTTAAATAAGTACAAATACTCTAAAAGAAATTAACTCGATTATTTGGAAAGAACAACATCCAAAATAATTTAACGAGTGTCTAAATAACATGATGAATGTACCAATACTTGAATTTTTTACCTTAGTTGTGAAAACCATCATTCTTAACTAATGGAAGAAGGTGAATTGGTAAAAATAATATATATTTTCTAATTAAAATTCATATATAAAAAATAAGTTTATATTTTAATAAGAATATCTTTAAATCCAATTATGGGGAATTGTTCATTTCTATAAATTGGAAATATTTAACCAAAGAAGGAATGGAAGAGGAAATTTAGGATCTTAATTCTACAAATCCAACATTAAAGATAATGTTGTTTAATCTTTGTCTAGATTCAGAGGATGAGGTTGAGAAATAGCATATTATTCAATTCATTTGCACATGACAATATAACATGTCAAACCTATAGAATCTAGAAAGGTAAAGTATCCAACAATCTATAGTGGTCATTGGACACAATAGTAAAAAGATAATTTCTTATGTTAATCTTTCTTAATTATTTACTTTATTCTTATTCAGCACATGTGTTTTTATAAGCGTTTTTAGAGGAGGGAAAAAAAAAAGGACGTAGTATTGGCTAGTGTAAGCGTGTTTGACTATGCTAAGAAAGTCTATTTATATAAGTAAATAAATAAAAGAAAAAATAAAACAAAGGTTCACCTTCGTAAGAATTCTTTTCAAAATAAATTCTTTCATTATAAAGGTGAGTTTTTGTAACTTCTAACATGAAATTGAAATAAAGATAATATGATGATTGTAATCGAATTTGCAATTGGAAAAGATAAAATGATGGATAGTTTGAAAAAAAGTTTGAAAACGAGCTCATGTCTAGAAGAGTTGAAACGTTTTAATAATTTTATGACACATGCAGTACATTGTATTGAATAGAATAAGGAAAAATCCAAGTGTACGTACAAATCATTGTCAGAAGTTTCATAGAAATCCCACACGGTGATGGGTCCCATGCAAATATTTTATTCCAAAAAATAAACCACCCATCCCATCAATGTGCGTTATCTGTAGGAGGTCTGTAAAAAAAATTATGTTCATCTAGACTGGTCCATAGAATAAATAAAGATGAGGGAAAAAAAATTTAGACTTCCTTTTTTTTTAATTAAATTCATTGAACCAAACATTTTATTAACGTCACTAGTGAAAGGGAATGGCCAATTGAGGAAATTAATAAAATTTGATATGTACATATTTTACTAATAACAATAATATACGCATGGGTAGTTTTGGGAATACAATAAAATGTTTGAATTTATGCCCCGACACATTACCTGTCTGCACTCAACTCATGGGCAACCGCATCTTTAGCCTTTATTTGGGTACTTAAAAAAAAAATGTATTTTTCATTTTCTTATTTTTAATAATACATTATTTAATAAAATAATATTACATATAAATTTTATTTTTATTTTTATTTTTAACTATATATTCTTCAAAAAATATTATTTCAAAATATATTTGTCTTTAAAATCTATTTCTAAGGGAGTTCAAACAATTTTATTTTTTTTTCTTTTCTCAGTTTGGTCAATTTGGACCTCTCCGACGGCCGACTTTTAATTAATATTTGGACGTTTGCAATATTTCAATTAATGCAATGAGATTTTGCTCTTCCCTTTTTGCAATTTTAGGCTAAACTTTGGCAAATTGAAGACACTTTTTATTCCATACACTAACACAATACCTTTGCATAACTTATTTTTTTACCTACTTCTTAACTTCACATTTATTAGAGTCCACTACATATATATACTTTTTTGCAAAAATGCTATAAATATTACATTTCGAGTCTAAAGTGAATTTTGTGAAAAGCTCTAAAACTATGGTATGAGAAGAGGCTCGACATAATCAAGTTTCAATAAGAACCAAACGATGTATCAATAATGGAAATTTTCATTTGTATAGAATGATCCTTCACAGAACCATTAAAAATATTCACGTGGAGGTGGGGCCCAAATACGAATAAAATATTGTCAAAAAAACCTCACCCACCCCCATTGTATGTATTCTGTAAGCTTTCTGTACAAGAAGCAAGACTCATCAGTAATCAATAATAATTATTTATGTGAAATCAGAAGCTTCATGTGCCATTATGAGACTGAATTAGACCTCAACGGACTTGTTTAGCTTTAATCCGGTCCGATTATTTTGATGTTATATAAAGAAATTATGAAGTGTAAACTGTTATTTAACCTTTATGAAAATATTAATTATTTCAAAGTGTATCAATTAATGTCACTTCATATAAATTAATCAGATTTTTTTTTTTGGGGGGGGGGTTTAAGATTTGTACATAGTTGTATATGTTAATAAAGTATATGATTGACCAAGCAATATGAACCGATTTAAGATTTGATTTTATAAGTAGAACTCTGATTCCCAATTTTGAAACTCAAAATTAACTAATATGATCTAAATTGTGTTAGATTCACACGAGCTCTTAAAAAATTATTTCGACCAGAAATTAAAGCAACTTTTTTGTCAAAAATATGCAGTAGAAATTCATGAAATTATTACAGAAGATCATGTTGAAAAATTCTAAGTTTCAATTCAAAAAGTGCCCTGCCTAAATAAAGATGAATACTTCACCAAGAAGAAAAGTAAATTATAGGGAAAAAAAAAAAAAAAAAAACAAACATGTATGGACAAGTTATTGGGGAAATTGAGACAAAGAAAAGGTGTGCAAGTGGAAGTAAATGGACCTCCACATAACTTGGTTGACAAGGAAGGAAGGAAATAAAGAGTGGAATGAAATTTTCTTGCGAATAAAATAATTGAAAATAATTAGTGACTTGTGAGCTCTTGAATTAGCCGATGAGCTAGCGATCTTGGCAAATAAATGTTTCGACTAGACGTATTGGATGATTCAAGTAATTTTCGAACTATTAGTTTCATGAATAGTTACATTTTTTTTTAATTTTTAATTTTTAATTTTTTTTTTACAGTGGAAAATTGAAATGAAAAATAAACAAAGAGAGAAATTATATTTGAATAACAATTGAATATGAAGAAAGTAAGATTACATAACGATTTTAATAGATAGTTGGACAGTTTGAGTTATTGATAATTGGTTGTGCAGATGTTATAGAAGATTGTTGATCAACTTGTTATTTGTAACTTCGTCTTCCTCAAATTGATAAAAAATGGGCTTAGCACACAAGTCGTAACCATGCTTCTAAATACACTCATATAGGGATGGCCTTGACTGTAGACAGAATAAACATCCCCTTTAGGTCCTGCGTATGAGAGAATGCAAATCATGTGTGTGTGTGTGTTTATATATATATGACGTTCATGTGATTGTACTTAAAGCATCTCTAAATTATGTGGACGATTTGCATATACACAGAAAGATTTACAAAACACATAATTATCAACACAAACAATTTGAGAGTATTGGTGGAACCAGATCAACCAAATATTGAACGATGCTAAAGAAACCTAATTATTAACATGAAGTATATAACATAATGTACGGTAGAATAAAAGAGAAGGCAGTTATCAGCCCATTAGATGGGCAATTATTAAAAGGTTGCATTCGATATGAGCAGTCACTGTCATTTTTTTGGATGGTTTGATTTGAAAGAAGGGATTAGGCACTGTGTATCTTTGTTTGATGATCCACTTCAACTACATATTTAAAAGCCAAAGAAAAAAAGATTAAAATGTAATTATTTATGTTATATAAAGGTTGAATCACAATCTTGAGGGCTCCACCATCCCACTCCTAAGGCTTTGTGATGGAGGTAAATCACGAGATGTGCCCCAACAGATTAAGGAATAAGATTTATATGTACACTGCGCCTACAAGAAGTCCAATTTCATGTCTCATGAATCAAATCCCCCCCACTGCTGCTACTAGCAAAATAT